AATTAGCAAAACTGTCGGATCAGGGGCTCGGAAAACGCAAGATTTATTCTTGAAAAGCCTTTCCAATTGTAACTTTTGGGTTCGGTTTATGGTTCAGCGGGATTACTGGACCTTTCTTCTGCGAAAATGAATGGATTGTGCTTGGTTGGTTTTGATCTGGACAACGTTTGCTTTCAACAAGACGGCGCTACGTGTCACACAAGCAACGAAACCAACGATCTTTTAAGGGCATAGTTTATGTGAATATCAAAATAAAACCTCTTATTATTATTATAGTTTAATATTCGGATTATAAGTTAATTTCTATAAACTTTACTTTTATTTCGCGAATACATAATGTATGTACATATACGAGGTGTCTTCAAAAAATATCGCGAATTTTGTGTTTTTTCAAAAATTATTTATTTATTCATGAATATCTATGGTGTCCCCTTCAAAGTAATCCCCATGAGATATTATACGCTTGTGCCAACGGTTTTTCCAATCTTCGAAGCATTTCAAAAAATCATTTTTTTATCTTGTTCAGCTCCTCCTTCGATGCCCTCTATATCTCGTCAATCGTAGCGTAGTAGGGAACAAGAAAAAGTCACAGGGGGCCAGATCTGGGGAATACGATGGCTGTGGCATCATTAGTGTGTTGTTTTTGGCCAAAACGTCGCGCACACGCAACGATTTGTGAGCAGGGACGTTATCGTGATGCAAAAGCCAATTTTTGTTCTTCCACAAATCCGGGCGTTTCTGGCGGATTGCTTCGCGCAAATTGCGCATAACTTGCAGGTAATATTCCTTATTGACCGTTCTACCCTGTGGCAAGCGCTCATGATGCACCACGCCCCTGCAATTAATTTTTTCGTCTGTTCATCTGAGAAGCACATTTCGTTGAGTTGACATTACGAAGTGCTCCCGCTATTAAAAAATTTCAATTCCATTAAAATAAATCACGTTGAAAACTGAACTATTGAGATTTTTTAGTATATCATATATATAGATATATTGACAAATTTCGAAATTACAAAAAAAAGTAGAGTGTTTGCATGATAATTTTTCGACTAACCTAATAATATATTTACGTTTATCCGGTAAACACCGCCTTCGTGTTTTTGAAACACATACATGTATGTGCACACATATGTATTTGTATGTATGAATATTCCTATTTATCTATTCGTACCTTTCTACGTATAAACAGGAACCACAGATATTTTAAAAACAAACAAATATAAAATTTTCCATATAAATACACATACAGTCATATGTACAAGTATGTATGTATGTACCTACATTATTTTTAATTAACATAGCTATGAGGTCACAAAAAGACCTCATGTATGTTTACATATACAGGGTTATATACAAATATTTATTTATTAATTTATTTATACAAAAATATTCAATATTAAACGATTTTCTGTCTTTACACGCATTTACAATACAACACATACATATCTTCTAGTCTCAAGTATTTCATTATTACCTAATAGTTAGAGATGTTGTACCCTTACTATCTTTAAAGTCACTTCAGGTCAGATCTCCAACCTCCACTTTCAACTAATGAATATACAAAAAAAAAAACCTTTTTAACCTTCTTCCTCATTCTTCTTTTGTACTAAAAAAAAAGTAAAAATAACGAGGAAATCAGCAGTTTTTACAGCTCGTAAAATGCAAAAACCGAACTTGAATCGGAAGTTAACTTCGTTTTAATAATTTTCGCAAGAACGTTATTGTTGTTGTTGTTGTTCTTGTTGTTGTTGTAGCGGTTCACTACCCCGCTTAGGCAAAGGTTTGGTCAGTCAAAGTCGCCGAGGTCATATAATGGTAGGCCCAGGAAACTTGCTGTTTCCACGGGGTTGGACCAAAGGGAGAGGGGGGTTAGATGAGTTGGTTTGAGAGGGCATGTGAAGAGTGTCGTGCGGAGACTCTCCATACGCAAGGCGTTCTGTAGGCTGCTATGCATGGAGTTTTTTCTCTTTAGCTATAAAAGTCGCCTCTTTTTATGTCAGCGGAGAAAGGAGAACACAAATGTTGATTATGTTCATCTGATCAAGGCTTTAACTCCCTAATTTCTTTCAATAAAAATCTCTAGCGGATATCGCGAAAATAGTAGCCTTGTTTGCAAAGAATATTTAAAGAGTAAAAATTCATGAAATCCCACATCGTCGAGCTGACGATCTTTCGGTTTGATCCTCGAAACATCACTTTTCTCTACTGCTCTCACTTCTTTTTTGCTACCGCTACCGGCTTAATAAAAGGAAATTGGCTCAACAATATACAAGTGGACACAACAGTAAAATATTATTTTACATAATTTTACTTATGAATAATGCGCTTTGTAATCGCTGAAAAGATTTTCGGCCGAGTTCCTACTCCCATAAATGTGACTAAAGTTTTATTTAAGCCGCCTCCGAACGACGCTTCATGTCCGCGTCGTGAGGTGTGATTAATTTTAAAATCAATTTTCTATAATTTCATTTCAGTAAAGCTGTTATTCCGGTACGAACTCAAACACTTTTCCTCCCAATCGTGATTCAACGTGCTAAACACTGGACTAAATGCGGCTAAGTGATTTTCGGCCGAGTATCTCCTTCAAAAATTGTGAAACAGAATTGCAGTTTTTAACAGCCTCCGAACGGCTGATAAATTTTTATGAGCTTTCTTTTTGACGTGAAAAATACACTCGGTGGGGTTGACGTTCTCTACCAAAGGAATTGCAAATATTTTTCAATGCTTTGGTATGTTGGCCTCGCCAGAATTCGCTTCGAAATCGTAGCACATACATTGGAAATTTAATTCTTACAGCTTTAACCGAGTTTTCCAAATGACTAGGACCAACTATCTATAACCTTTAAATTTCATAGAGTGCAGTGGATGTCAGTGCTGTATATAAGTGGAATATTACGAACCACACCTACTGACTGAAGCTATGAATATCCTCTTCAATCTACCAGAAAAGACGGTTTACTGCACATCATTCACTGAATTTACGACAGATTTCAAGCTACTTATCCGGGATAGAAACCAAAACCGGATACTACCAGCAAGTGCAACCTCAATTCATTTTTATACGGTTGGCACAAAACTAGATGAAATGATATATATGAAACTGTCTTTTGTACTCTCAGAAAATATTGTAGTATTCATATATTTCCGCATAGCAAGGCCACATTAAGACCCCTTGAATCTGAAACAGTGAAATTTACACCCATAGAGAATTGCCGCAGATTACTCTACGTGTTTTATAAGCAGGTCTCTTTGAAGCTGGTATGGCTGCGCGGACACGATAACATACCTACCAAGTAAAAAGCTTGCAAGGAAGGGCACTACTTTTCCCTTTTCGCCAGTACGGAGGAGTTCGGTTATATCGCTCTGCATTTATGAGCTCACTATAGGAGAGGTATTCATCAAAAATGCTAACTCAAGATGAAAAAGAAGACTCAATGCATGTAATGTAACTACGACAATATGGCCAGCGTGGGTTAAAAGAAGTGCATGTGTCCGTACCGCATTAAAAGAAAAGGAGATGGCTCTCCATACATCTTTAGGTCTCCTTGCAGGACTCGTTCTACTGGGCAGGCACGCAGAGAAGTTAGGCGTACCGTCTAACGACTTTTGCAGAAATTGCAGACAGAAAGATGAAGCTGAAATCTTAAGACACTTCCTTTGTAAATGTCCCGCTTTGGAGGAGTAGGTTAAAGTCTCTAGTGGCGAGATAGCGGGGACTAGGATACGACGAATCCTCAGTTGCATCACAATGAGCACGTTTGGTGGTGTAAATGAACTGATTTCCAGCAATCAACTACTACGACCGGCATTTTGTTTACAGGCTTTTATAACGATATTAAGCTTTTTACTGTCAATTATTTTCATAAACAACATTTTTAGTTTATATATAGGGTTTTTCAATAAGAGGTATTATTTCAAATAATCTCCCATTCCGGTAGATGTCACTTTGGAAGGTTTAATTTTTTGACAATTGAGAAGAAAAACCTACGGCAGTAATAAAAATGGAACGATACAACCTTCAACAATGCGCTGAAATTATTTAAATACACTAAAAAAAGAATTATCGAAAAATCATCTAGATTGATGAGGTCCAACTCCGCCGCGATGGCTACGTCAATTAGCTAAACTGTCGGATCAGGGGCTCGGAAAACTCAAGATTTATTCTTGAAAAGCCTTTCCAATTGTAACTTTTTGGTCCGGTTTATGGTTTAGCGGGATTACTGGACCTTACTTCTGCGAAAATGTATGGATTGTGCTTGGTTGGTTTTGATCTGGAAAACGTTTGCTTTCAGCAAGACGGCGCTACGTGCCACACAAGCAACGAAACTAACGATCTTTTAAGGGCAAAGTTTATGTAAATATCAAAATAAAACCTCTTATTATTATTATAGTTTAATATTCGGTTTATAAGTTAATTTCTATAAACTTTCCATTTAAATATTAAAAATTATTTCGTTAAGGATTTTTTGTTTTACTTATGGGACGTACATTGTATATGTATATTTTATATATATTGTAATTACATGTGTATATATGTATATACAATTTCTGAAGCTTTGGCATGGAAAACTGGAATTTAATTAGGTTATTCTCTGTTATAATTTAAAAATTTTAAAGTGAATTAAAGTGCTTTTTCAATAACAAATTTGAAAAACATGTGTCAAAATCGATTTTACTTCAAAAAAAAATTAAGAAATAAATTAAATGTAAGAGCTTCATATATTTTTATTTATTATATGTATTTAATTTTTATTTTTCACAAAGTAACCACACTTTAATTCAAAAAACATTCAAAAACTTTGTAATTACTTTAGACCCTCTCCGTTGTTTTTTTTTCTCGGTTCACTTAAGCCTAATAAATTTCTTTTACATTCTCAGTTATATAATTCAATATAAATTTAAATTACACTTTCTTTAGTTGAATGGACTTTAAAATTGTTTTATCTCAGATTTATGTAGTAGAATCACTTTCGAAACATTTACATGTAAAATGTACATACATACATATATTCAAAGCAAAAGTAAAAACACTTGAATAAGGAAAATCTTGTAATTTTTCCACTCTCAATTAAATCGATTTATCTTCGTTCACTTCTTTTTATTTCTTCACTAACCAAAATGTTGCAACTGTTGGGACTGAACTTACTTGAAAATATTTTGCACCTCACAGTTCTTCTGTTACTTATCACACACTAATTTTAAAAATACAATACAATATGTTTCGAATAGCTGAGAAGAACTTTCAAAAATAGATCACAACGTACTCTTATTAATCACACATTTCACATCTTATATATTCTATATGCAAACGTATATACATACATATATATATATGTATATATATATATATAAGTATATATAAATATATATATGTTTTTAATATATTATATATTGCAACATACATAGGTATGTAAAATTTAAACCAATGGACATAAAAACAAACATTTACACGCATAAATATACATACATATATACTTATGTATACATACGTGTACATATAAGCATCTGCTCATACATATGTACATACACGTATATATGTACGAGCATGTATGTTTGTAATAGAATTTTCGCACGTATTTAAAGCGTAACACACAAAATTTTCACCATTCGTTTTTCCTCAATTCATTAAAATAATATAAATAAAAGAAAATGTACAAAACATTAAGGCTATACAAATTTGTGTGATACCCTAGACATTATTATGTAGCTACATATGTATGTATGTATATATACATAAATACATAGTACATATGTATATGTTAAGCCACACGATGTCGGTGGTCAAAAGACGGGTCCGTTTCTCGAGATTACACATTCGCCGCACTGAGACTTCAACAATTCGAATGTTACACCCGTTGTGTGGCTGGTGACAAAGTCTTGTTGAAAGCTCATATCAGTGATGTTGAATAATGCAAATTACTCAAAAAAAATTACGTTCCAACATATCTCTGTACCATTCACCGTACCGTGACGGTCATTTTTATCGACGAAAAAAAAAACGGACCAATTACGCCACCGGCAGAAAGCGACTACGCTGTCTAGGTCATGTCGTCCGAATGGAAGAAAGTAGTACAGCTTTGAAAGTATTCGGTGCAGTACCCGCTGGTGGAAGCAGAGGAGAACCTCCAATCCATTGGAAGGAGCAGATGGAGAGCGACCTGGCTTCACTTGACATTTCCAACTGGCGCCGAATAGCGAAAAGAGAGAGTTAATAGCGCACTACAATTGATTCGGCTATAATCGTGTAAGCGACGGCAACGTCAATAAAGAAGAAATCTGCACCAAACAATGATTGTTTTCGGTTGAATCGATGTTCCATGAATCACATGGGGGTTTTCACCGGCCCAGTAATGCGTAGTTTGTTTATTTACGAAGCCATTTAACCAAGAATGTGCTTCATTTCTGAAGATTTTGCGATGAAAGTCGCTCTTAAAGTTGCGATCACCGACTCGGTTATGTTGCTTAGTTGACGATAGTTCCAAGAGTAATTATCCAATAGTAAATATTTATGCTGATTATGAGTCACTGAACACGTTACAAATTATCACCCTAGAATACAACCGGCGAACATAAAAACGCTTCCTTGAATATAGCGATTTCTTTTTCACTGCTAGCTATTTTCATAAACAGGATTTTCTGCTTCCTAGACACCGCTTTTATGACCGAATAAACAATAGCACGCTATTCGTTACTTCCCTTTGCTGTTTCGCTGGCGCAGGAATGAAAAGAAATTAGACCAGTTCGCACTCCACCTGATCCTTCCAACTGAGTGGGGGTCTTCCCCTTCCTTTGCTTCCACCGGCGGCTACTGCATCGCATACTTTCAAAGCTGGAGTGATTTTATCCATTCGGACGCCATAACCTAGCCAGTGTAGCCGCTATCTCTTCATTCGCTGAACCATGCCAATGTCACCGTACAGCTCATCTTTCCATCGTCTGTGCAAAGGACCATAAATCGTTCGCAAAATTTTTCTCTCGAAAGCTTCTAACACCGACTCATCAAATGTTGTCATCGTCTATGCCTCCGCGCCATACAGCAGGACGGAAACGATGAGTGACTTGAAGAGTTTGATTTTCGTTTGTCGGAAGACAAACTCAATACAGAGTAGCACCTGTTGATAAGATTGATTCTGCGTTGGATTTCTAGCCTGACATTTTTGTTGGTGTTAAGACTGGTTCCAAGACAGATGAAATTATCTAATAACTTCAAGTTGTGACTGTCTACAGCGATGTGGGAGCCGAGTCGTGAACGGGGTAACGGTTTGTTTGATGACAGCAGATATTTCGTCTTGTCCTCTCTACCATTTTTGTTGGTGTTTAGACTGGTTCCAAGACAGATGAAATTATCTAATAACTTCAAGTTATGACTGTCTGCAGCGATGTGGGAGCCGAGTCGTGAACGGGCTAAGGGTTTGTTTGATGACAGCAGATATTCGTCTTGGCTTCTCTACCAGACCCATATGCTTCGCTTCCTTATACAGTCTGGAAAATCAGACCTCACGAAGCGATTGTTAACGATAATGACGTCAATATTATCGGCGTACGTCAGCAGTTGTGCACTCTTGGATTGTACCTTCTCTATTCAGCTGTGCAAGATTTTCTCCAGCAATGAATTAAGGAAGTCACACGATAAGGAACCATCTTATCTGTTGATAACGAATGGCTTTACTCGATCCAGATGGAGGTTTTGGTTTTGCTTAACATCAGCTTACATAGCGGAGTAGAGGCAGCTCCTTTTCGTGCTGTCGAATGCTGATTTAAAATCGACCAAGTGGTTATGTGTCTCGATCTCAATTTCACGCGTTTTTTCCAAAATTTGGCACTTGGTGAATATCTGGTCAATGGTGCATCAGGTCTAAGTCCATACAAATAAGGTACAATCGGTTTTTACACACAATACGCAGTTTTACATTGCCAATGGTAAATTGTCGCTTGTAGATCTCCATGGTGTAATGAAAATATCCATAGAGATCTAAATATAGGAACCATCAAACAAGTGATGGAATCGTAACACCAAAAAAAAAAACCAAGGAAAACCACTCTGCTTAAGCCAATAGATGATCTCGACACACACAATCGTCCGAATTTTTTAGCTATCAACTTGACTTACGCAACAAGTCAAACGCGCCTGAAGAGAAGGGACCCTTGAGACAGTTAATAGATTTTAAACATAGTTTCTAAGTTTTGATTATACATTGTAAGGCTTCCGATGCCGAATCAGATTCATAAATGAATACAAATGTTACTGAAAAAATAGATGAGCAGACAAGAGAGAATCTAAGTAGAAAAACTTAGCGCCTGTTTCCGGTTTGAGCTCACAGCCTTTATCATCCCCTCGATTTCGTTTTTTATTCCAGTTGTTATTCCTATCTATATTTCACACTGTTACCAATAAAGAAAATTTTGTTACTTTTCTTTAACACCCGAATTTGAATTTGGTATTCTGGCGAACTGGTTACAATATTTGAAAAAAATTTGGCAGCACTGCTTTTTTCGTCCATTTCAAATTACATTTGCCAGTTGATAAAGTAAAAAGAAAAATATTCACATCTAAATGGAAGACAGTGCATAAAAAAATCGAATAAGTCTTATTAATTTGTTTATTAAATCATAAATATTTGAACCTAATTATGGAAAATATGCCTGGACAACAAAAAAACCTGAATGAAAAGGTTATCTTACAAATTAAAGGACTATTTTTTAGTCTCGAAAACTGCTTAAAATACGGCTTTTTGCACTTTTTTTCATCTTCAATGAATTCCGGGCCTAAAATATGCCTACCTATTTTGGTTTTTATTTTTTCTCAAACTAACAACACAAAATCAAATAGAAGATATTTTTATTACCTCCTATTTCGCTGGTAACAAAATTTACAGGGTGACAGTGAACTCAGAATACGAAATATTAACAAAATTTACTGAATTTACTGAATTTTCTCGCCTACTCAGCGCTCTCTTACTAAGTTTTGGCTGTTCATGTCTTCTGTTATGAGATAGATAATGATAAAAATGTCTATGTACGTGAAACCATAAACTTTCTTCCTTCCGTAGCGCTCAATAGGATTCGTATAAGAACGAAAATATGCCATGCAGTGTGTACGCACTGTACTATAATTAGCTAATTCACCTTAAGACTACCTACTTAATGCACAATAAAAAGAAATTCTACATATTTCTCATACTTGATATGCAAACAATTGAGATGAGCTGAAGTGAATGTAGGAAAAATATGAATTTCGACATTTTCGAGTTTTTTTTTTTGCCTTGTACTTTCTCAATTTATTTACTTGTGCGGGAGTAATGTGCATACATATACATATAATACATATAATTTTATATACACGTAAGTGTATTTATGTATTTAGCATCTGAATGTTTTAGTTCATTTTGCGGAAATAGGAGCTGGGGTACTGAATTTTTAAATATTTTATATTATTAAGTATATAAAAGATATAACACAGTCGTATTTATGTATGTATGTACGTGTGTATGTATTGAAAATTTGTTTATTGCAGATTGAAATAAACAAAAGTTCAAATTGTGTTAATATTCTCCAGTATTCCAATGTTAACAGCCACAAAGTCAGACGGTGCAAGTGTACGGTTGCTTAGATGTTGTTCTCTTTGAAAAATAAAACATAAAAAATAAAAAATACAAACGTACATACATATTTTGAATATGCATACACTCGCTTCTATATACTACACTTTTATGTGGTATAATGAATATTACATATGTACATAAATACGTATGTATGTATGAATTAGTACAGTATTTAGGGTTATCCATTTACAGGCCTATTCTGTCGAGGTAAAAAAACTTTACTTTGGTATTAAAATTTACCATTCAGTAAATGTTACTATTTCGTATTCTGAGTTCACTGTCACCCTGTAAATTTTTAAATTTTGTTACCAGCGAAATAGGAGGTAACAGAAATATCTGCTATTTGATTTTGTGTTGTAAGTTTGAGAAAAAATAAAAACCAAAATGGGTAGGCATATTTTAGGCCCGGAATTCATTGAAGATGAAGAAAAAAGTGCAAAAAGCCGTATTTTAAGCAGTTTTCGAGACTAAAAAATATCCCTTAATTTGTAAGATAACCTTTTCATTCAGCATTTTTTGTTGTCCAGGCATATTTTCCATAATTGCGTTCAAATATTTATGATTTAATAAACAAATTAATAACAAATTTTAATTTTTTTGTGCACCATCTTCCGTTTCGATGTGAATGTTTTTCTTTTTACTTTATCAACTGGCAAATGTATTTTGACAAGGACGAAAAAAGCAGTGCTGCCAAATTTTTTCAAACATTGTAACCAGTTCGCCAGAATACCAAATTTAATTTCGGGTGATAAAGAAAAGTAACAAAATTTACTTTATCGGTAACAGTGAGAATAGGTCGGTTAGTCGTTTCAAAAGTACAGGGCTGTATTTTGACATATGTCAAACTTAACTGCCAAACCAAAAATGTTGTGCTTTAGTTAAAAGTCAGACATTTATGAAAATTACTACAAAAATGATGATTCACATCTCGTGCCTTAAAAGGAGGTTTGGTGCGCATAATCGTCCAATTAAATACTGGAGCAATTGGTAAAATTTAAAGAAATTCAAAGAGACTGTATCGTTTACAGATATTATATTATAAGACCTGTGAAAGAGCAGGCGAAGACCCGAATGCCTCTATTTCTCAACATTCTCAAGAACGGGGTCCTTCTTGCAGCACTTTATGACATATTTTCCACTTGAACTTACACCTACTTCCATATAAAGTCGAGCTCATACAACAACTGTAGCCAGTTGACCATTCCCAGTGTGGTATATCAGTCGATTGGGTGTTTAAACAACAAGCAGTGGTTCCTCGATTTTTCGAAAAAAAAAAAATGAAAAATTTTAAGCGACGAGGCACATTAGACACCTGGAGGATGCAGAAATAGGGAAAATTATAACATTTGATGCTCCGAGAATGCTCAAATAATTGCAGAAAGACCTTTATACCAAAAAAGAACTTACTGTCTGGTGTGGACTTTGGTTTGGTGGTATAATTGGGCCGTACTTCTTTGAAACCGACAACGTCGAGACTGTCACTGTCAATTCGGAATGTTATGATCGTAGGTAACTCGATTTTTTTGGCCTGCAAATGAAGAACACGACTACAATATGTAGTTTCAACTAGACGGTGCAACATGCCATGGATTTATTGCGAGGATAGTTTCCCAGTCTCTTAATGACACGTTTCAGCAATGTCAATTGGCCAACGAGATCGTGCGATTTGGCACCGTTGACCTATTTTTTGTGGGTCTACCTGATAAATAGTGTTTATGTAGAAACTCTTGAGCACTTGGAAACCAACATTCATCAAGTTACGGCTGAGATGGCACCCAATATGTGCCAAAAAATTGTCGAAAATGACCTCAAACTGTTCAAAGTGTGTGAAAATTCGCGAGGCAGTTACTTGAATGGTAGTGTTCCACGTATAAAGCCAAGGTTTAAACTTTGAAATAAAAAAGGAGTTTCATAAAAAAATATATTTTAAAGCATTTCATTTACGTTTTTTTATCGAAACCACAAAATGAATAGCCCTGTATTAGTATAGTTTATATTCATGTAGTCAAAGCAGACAGGAAGTTTTCTTTATTTTCACATTAGAGAGTGACTCGAAAATTTCTTGGAATATGCAGAAGTTAAAGATCGAGTGAAAAGGGAAAAAATTGGATAAAAAATGTTTTTGCACTCCCGCCCGTCTAATTTACCATCGAACAAAAGCTTAAGTTTTCTAACACCGATTTAGAAAAAAGTTTAAAGTATTTATATGTATGTACATATTCCGATTCAAAAGTATTCGAGCAAGCAAAAATTATATATAAAATTATAATATTAATTTTTACGTTATAGCTCCACCCTAATATTTGATTTTTTTTGTTTTCCAACTTCTAATTTTTTTTGAAAGCTACAAGCTTTTATTTGCATGTACAGATGTACATGCATATGTATAAACAATTTATGTATATGTAAAGTTTTCTTTCAGAAGCTCGTGAATAACCAAGCGAAGAAAGCTTACCCTTCGAAGCAGGAAGAATCATATATTAAGTATTAAAATATACATTTCTGTTCCGAAAATTTATTTGTGTTCTTTTCTGGCAAAATCGCCAAAAATATGAAACAAATAAAGCGTATTTTTTTAGTTGTGTGCTCTGGTCAGCGCTTTCATATTTGTAATTCGAGCAACCATGGATCGATTTCGCACCACGTTTACTCTAGCGGATAATGCGATTTTGTTGTTATGAAAATTCGTTTGTCTACGCAGATAAGCCCGTGGTGATTGACGCCTTAGAAGATATTCGGAAATATTCGGCACATTATCGTTGATAGTCCACCACAATTGTTGCGAAGAGAGCTAGAAAATGGGATTTTCGGTTGGAATTTATACGCGGCGGCGTCTTCAAACACTTGTCCAAAATCATCTTAAAACATAATTGCAAACTCTTATCTTTATAATAATGCTGAATTCTGGGCCATTACATTAAATTGTATATGTTATATTTCTCCTTTATTTACATAAAGCCACAATAACGTCTGACTGGTATGTATAGAGCAAACCTGGTGGAGGTGGAAATTTCGGATCTGAAAAATGAAGTCCTGAAAACGCTGAAGCAACTCGTGGAGAAAAGTTGTAGCGGTGCAACCGTCAGAAAAAAACCACAACTGTAGAAAATCAGGACACTCGCGACTGCGCGGCGGACTCCACCAGACGGAAATGAGGGCGGAAACGCAAGGGTGCCCCCCAATCAGCAGTACGCAAGTACTCTTGGTCAAGAACTGGCAACGTAGAGAGGATACTTACGAAAATGGCATTAATACGTATGGTAAAAAGATAACAAAATCGAAGTGATATAAGGAAGGAGATCTGGTTTTACTCCGCGATGGCAGAGCAATTGGGGAGATCCGAGATCCGTACGAAATTATAAAACGACTGAATGACAGGGTCGAGACCAGAGGATTGTCAGTCCTAGAAAGCAGGAGCTTATGGTTCACTTGGGTAGACTTGCAACGTTAGAAAAAAGTGTAACTGATCGCAATGATTGCACTTAGGTGAGGGGCAGAGTCGCAAAATTCCCAAATACATATATATATATATGAATTCGAGGTGATCAGGAAAGGCCGATAACTAAAGTACGCTCTAACGCGCGTATATCGAATGTTCGTTATCGAGAACAATGAAGAAACCTTCTAAAGATGCATACGCAGCTTGTTCAGTTGAGTATAGTACTCGCTGATGACAGCATCGGCAAAGTTACATTGACATCGGAGTCGAGTAAAGCTGAATAAATTGTATGTTTACAGGAGAAAAACCATGTTTGTTGTTGTATAGCTGTATATTTAAAATAAAAAAGCTGAGAATAAAGAATTGATTGAATTATTTTGAAAATCATCGCAGCTTATTTGGCGAAAATCGTTACAATAATTTTTTCGAAAGACATTAATTGGCAACCAACGTCAAGCGACACTCACAGTGTTACCACTTATTTCTCATATCTAATTAAAGCGGATTTAAAAAACGACAAATAACAATTAAACAGCAAAAATAATAAAATTAAATTTAAATTCCACTTAAGTTTTCAACTCAAAGTCTTTGTAACCGCTGAAGCGATATTCGGCTGAGCTCCTTCATCAATTTGTGGTTTGCGTCTTGATGTTTTTCCAACAAATAGAGGGACCAACAATCTAAACTAAGCGGCCTTTGAACGGCTGTTGGTTTTTTGTGAGGAGCTTTATTTCATGTCAGAGATGTATATACTATCTATGTACTACATGCATTAAGTAACTTTGACAGGCAGTTGAAAGTCAAACGTCAAACGTTGCAATTTAAATGTCAAATTTAAGACGTGCCAATTTTCGGTTGCCAAAATATTAACAGATAAACCCACAACTGAAAGCGTAAAATTGAAACCACAGCATATATCAAAAGAATATTATAGCGACAAGCTCCCACTTTATTGTAACGTATTTTAGATAATCATCACCTTAAAATTAAATTGTACTAAAATTTTAACTAACTTTTTAGTTGTTTTAGTTGTTATTCATATTTTATAGATAGTTATTGTTTTTATTTAAAGAACATTTGCATATTTTTGATTTATATAAGCTTTGGTGTGATAATTATGAGTACGAATCGAGGCAGCCAGAGTTTGAACGAGATGCTTGTCCCGTTTGCTTGTAGATATGTATGAATCAAGGTCCCGTCCACTGAGAATTGATTAAAAAAGAAAAAGTCAAAGACATTACTTAATTCAATTCTAGATTGAGACTTTTTATGCTTTCACTGTACCTAGCGTTGTTTGTTCTTAAGACACGTTCAGCCCAAGTCTGTGCGCGTGGTATTTCCCTTGGAACGCCAACTTGTTTCTTATCCAAGTAATCAATAACGTCATCATAGTAATTTGTTCTGTAGTTGTACATGTATTTATACTGCAAGAATTGTGGTCTGCAAAAAAATAAAAAAATTTAATTTCCATACTCACATGTGGGTAGGATAATATTTTTAAGGCTAGTGCCCGAGCCTTACTTATTTTACATACCTAACCCAGTGACGATATAATTGTACTGGCTTTCGGTAGCCATCGTCTTCTGGCGGTGGTGGCGGTGGTGCCGCTTCCTCTGCGGCAGCTTCTTCTACTGCGGCTTCACCCTCAGCTGGTGCACTAGTCTCACCGTCACCTGCGGCTGGAGTAGCAGCTGCAGGTGCATCGGCACCGGCAGCGGCAGCAGGGGCAGCGGGAGCTGGCTCACTATCTCCTTCATCGAAACCCCATGGATCCTCCTCGTCGGCCATAATACGAGTTTACTTAGTAATGGATGAAAGTAGAAAGGGAGCAAACTACTCGACTCATTATAAATGTGCGATATGCGAAGTAAATATTTATTATTTTGTACGTGTGCAAACTACTTTCTCATAACCACTTTCAACAAAAAAATGTTTTGATTCTTTAAGTATAATGCTGATACTAAGAAGTCTTACAATAAGATTTCGACTTAATATTTAGAAGCCGAACTTCTAGCTGAAATTATAGGTCTTTCGTCTACTAAGGAGGGATTAACTTTTGCATTTAACCCGAGTAGCATATGGATATAAGTAAGCGCCTTTTTACTCTTTCTCTCTTCTCCCATTGAAGGATTAGACAACCCATCAAGAATCTCTGCGTCTTCCGACTCTATTGAGTTCCATCTATCGCTATCAGAACATTCTGAAAGTCACAGCCTAAACCGCTGTTTATAGAGACCTAAAGCTTGTGTGTGCATATGACGTAGACTACCGAAAAAAAATGATTTTCCGGGAAGTGGACGAGGAATCTAAATTGCCACGCACACCAAAAATTGGAGGAGGAGCTCGACCGATAATCGGTAAAATGGTTATAGGGCGCTAAGCGCTCGTCGACTATCAAGTAGAAGGTTTTTATTTTCCCAAAATCGGCATCGTAATAGGAAGAACTGGGAAAAAGTTAAAATTTTAATTCAGCAGAGTTGCCGCTGTTTTTTTTTAACATTTTAGGTATATATTTATAAAAATCTTCTGTAAGTTTGTCTATGACTGAACTAACATTAAATAACTAAAATAATGAATTTTTTTGAAAAGAGTTACCAACTGTCTCGAATTTTCAATTTGTAAAGTGATAAAATAAAACAAATTTTTCAATATGGGTATCGAACTGAAAAGACTGAAGAATATCTTATTGAAAAAGTATTTACGAGCAGCGCTGCCACTCATTTAATTTAATTTTTATTTTAAAGAATTGATAAGATTCTTTACTCGATTATCATTATTTATCTAGGTATCCGAATAAAGAGATTTAAAAAGCTTAATTATAAAGAAATCTTTGGGGAGAGCTGAAAACTATTTAAAAATTTCTATACAATCAAATTGATAATTTAAATAAATTGTTATATTAAAGTTATTGATAAAATATATATCAAAAAATTTAGCAATTCATTTGAAGTAAATATTTTTTTTAATAAATATGTAGATAAAACGAAAAAAAGTGTGAAAAGCCACGTTCCAACGGTCAGGGGAGGAATTCTACAAGGCTTAAAATATGACCACGTGGTTTAAGTATTGTACAATCGGCGTTCAGCCCTTACGACATTGACATATGGGTATCACTGTAGAGAGATTTCAAAAAAATTTGAAGACGACTACAACTGCTTGGAATTTTAATGTGGATGTTTTGATGTAGCGGCGAAACACACAGGCGTACCGTTAGTTGCATTTAAACTTCAAAATAAAATAGCAGAATGTTGAGAAATTAATTTTTATCGGATTGAAAGCTCTGCTAAATCTATGAAAGCTAAATTTTTATTTCGAATAAATTTTTATTAAGAATCTGAGCGTAATTTGTATCTGCTATGCAATGCTTGAATCTTTTTATATAACAATATATTATACAATATTATTATAATTATTATAATTTACTTTAAGGAGCTTTTTCAGAGCTTTTGCGTCTGGTTCTTGATGTAAACCACAATATTTTAAGGCAAAAACATATTTGAAACATAAAAGTTTAGAAAAATATATACCATACATATATTTCTCCGCCATTCCATACTTTCTAAGATTTCCTATTTTGCTCTGATCAACGCACTAATTATAAGTTAAACATTCAATGCGTAGACAAGTCGCCTTGCAATTCAAAGTTCAATTCATTTGTTGAATTACGAAGAACTACTAAAGGAATTTGCGTGAATTTTCATGTGATAAGAAAACTAAATAAAGTCACAAGTTATTTGATATGATTTTTTTTAACTACTACGTTCTAAAAACTCGGCCCAAATCAAACGGTCTGATTATGTTCAAGGACAGTGTCTCCGTTTTGAAAATGCAGAAAATCGCGCAGGTTCTTGAATAAAGTAAAAAAATATACGTTAACCGAAAAATTCAAAATTTTGAAACAATAATAGCCATTTGAGTGCCAGAAAGTTTTCAAAAAAAACCAATTTTAATTAGTAAATACATTTTCGAAAATAATCACAAATATGAAAAAAAAAATTTCAAAATATTTACATATATTTTTCAAGTATTATAGCACTCTTTTAAAATTTTAATTCTATTTTTTGCATATATTTGGCATTGAATTAAAATATTTTAATGAAATTTCTTTTATTTATTTATAGAGTGTACAAACGATTTTATTTATATACTACGTATTTATTATTTATTTTCAGTTATTGAACACCTTGCGCCAATAATAGCGTTATCAATTGTATTTACTTATGTAATGGCTAATTTGTGCGTACAATTTATTTACAATTTGGCAATAAAGTAAATAATTATTTTCTTTTTTTGCGCAGAAATTATGTCAATGTCAAATTGTTTAACAGTATTTACTAGTTAGACAACAACTTTCTGTAAATTTTTGGTGCCTAACATCACGGCGACACTGTCAACTGCATAATTACAACCAAATATGGTAAGATAAGCTCTCACATTTCATTTGAATGCAAAAATTAAAATTTCAAAAATGATTCGAAGATGCAGAACAAACACATCTAGCATTGCACAAAAATAGTAAATTTTAAAAATTTTATTATTTTCAAAAAAATTATTTTTATAAACCCATCACATTTTTGCAACAAACCCTTATACATTTCTTTAAAAGTAAATACTATAATCATGCCATTAATTGTAAATAGTACTTCGTTGAATTCTAATGTGTACAAATCCTCTTCTCAACAAATGCACAATTTTACAATTTTCAAGTGATTTACTAATCGATGATACCTTTAAGAGGTTGATGTTGATTGAAGAGGTATAGAAAAAACACTGCAATCGAGAAAGTTAATTTAGAAATTGGAAGCCTAACCAATTACTGAGGCGAAGGTTTTATTGCATTTTATTTGAAACGATTAACCAATCACCGTTCAGCGCCAACTAGAAGACAACAACGCCAATTAACACCTATGCGAAAGACACTTTTAGATTTAATAGAAGAAATGGCAAAGACAAGCAAAAACAATGAGCCAAACAAACAAAAAAAAAAGGAAATAAAGAACAGATTTAATTTAGTAGCGTAGCATTGTGCAGTACATTGATTAATTACGCTTGGCAAGTATCCGATAATAAATGTTTAATGCAATATTGCCACACAAAACACACACGCTGCGATTGTGACTAAAAAAAAAACAAAAATAAGAAGAAAAAGTGCATATCAGAATGGAAATCAGCATAGTTTTTGCCAACACTGTATGCCTTGCTTTAGTATGTGTACCTATGTACTTACATACATATATATATATATATATATATATTATATACATACATTTAGTCGCATGCATTACGAGGGATGAGTATATTTAAAATATTTCATTAGATATACATAAAAAAAATATTCCCCCAAAAAGGCAACTCCATTGCAAATATAAATTAAAGATTTTAAAATATAACTTTATTATTATTATTATTATTATTCATGTATTTGAGATTAATTGTTTATTGCTTGTTATAACTTTTCATATATATATAAAAGTTAATGTGTTTGAGGATCACATTGTAATAAGCGAACGATAGATGGATCACTCTTCGCCCCCTCTATGAATTCTTCGAGGCTTAATTTACCATCCTTATTTCGATCCATCTGTCTAAATATTTTATCTGTTCGTTTCTCAGGCGTACTCTCGTCTTCCGGCATTTTCATAACTGAACCAACCATTTTATAAATTGCCTGCAAGCAAATGCAATATATATTATATATAAGTATGTACAATACGTGTATTTACATGTTTAATTTAAAAAAAAAATTGAAAAATACTAACCGTGACGATTTCCAGCATTTCTTGTCGGGAAATGTAACCATTTCCATCTAAATCATACATCGAAAACGCCCATTTTAATTTCTGTTCTAATTTGCCGCGTGATGTTACGCTCAGCGCGCATAGAAATTCTCTAAAATCGATTGTGCCATCACCATTGGCATCGAATGTTCGAAAAACGTGCTCAGCAAACTGAAAGTAGTAATATGAAATATATTTTTTTTATTAATAATTTATATTTATTCTCTAGCTTTTACAGTCAACTTCTTCAAAAATAAGATGGATAAGCTATGTTCGGTCTTGCCAAAGTATTTATACCTTTCCTGACCATATTAAAGGGAGCTATCATATGTACATTAATGTTAAAGTCGTCAGATTTTGAAGATTTTCGGCTACAATGTTTATTTGTATATACGTATGAAGATTGCAAAGTTTCATGCCCGTAGCTCTTGGATGCCTTTTCGAAACATTTTTTTTACCGAAAACCTCATATCTGAACAAATCGGTTGCATGTGGCATATATTTTATAGCTCTCCGATTTCGATGATTTTCGGTGACAATGTTTATTTGTATATACGTGTGTAGATACCGAAGTTTCATGCTGTCAGATAGTTTTTTGAGGAGTTTTCAGACGCAAAATGTCACAACTGCGCAAATCGATTGTACAGGAGCTTTATAAAATAATCCTCCGATTTCAATAAATTTCCGCACCAATCTGTATCATATGCGAGCAGAATACGAAATCTAACATTTGTAAATGCGAATTTTTAATCAAAAACTCATATCTGAAATACTCGTTAGTGTGGCAGCTAAATGTTCTTGTGTTTGGATCTGACCGGTTATGGCAAATGATTGACTAAATTTAGCAGTGCAACCACATATGTACCAAATTTGGGGTGAAATATCTCACAAACTGAAGGTGTACTTTGCATTAAAACATACGAACAGACATACAGACATGATTAAATAAGTACGTCGTTCAAATTCGTACAGTATATATTTTGGTGGGTCTCTCCCTATTCCTTTTGGTACTTATATACTTTCATATACATGAAAAGTAAAAAATTTTATTTAATAAAAAATTAAGTTTCAAATATTAAAATTTTTTTGGAAATTAATTTACTTAAATAACTTACCTTACTTGCGTCGCCGTACGGAAAGAAGTTCCCATATATTTTTTTAAACTCCTCTACGGAGAGATGCCCACTGGGACAATCCTTTAAAAATCCTTTATACCATTCTTGTATTTCAGCATCTGGAATAAAAACAGGCAAATACGTAAATTTTAATGAATTTTAATAAAATCATGCACATGTACATTTGTACATATATACAAAAAAAAATTAAAAAAAAAACAAATCAAAAGTCTTCGCAAGCCAGATTCATAGGGGCTAATATGAAAACAATATAATTGAATTTATTTAAAATTAAAAAAAAATAACTACATTGATTTTTCTTTGATATTTAACTTTAAAATACAGTTAACAAAATTTTTTTTTTGGCAATTTAGAGGAAAATAATAAAAAAAAATTATTTAAAGTACAATATTACTCATACGCCCCGACAAACAAGTTTTAGCAAATTCTTTCATTTCACTTTTTTGTTAAATAAAATATTATATTAGTAATTAATAATTTTAATTTCTTGTTCACCTGTGAATTCTGTATTCTGTTTAAGGTCCTCTAAGACTTCTGGCTTCAATTTACTGTTTTGCTTTCCCATTTTGATTACTCATGCTTTGATTTCTCTCTGTAAGGTATGCAAAAAAACAAAAATTAATAAACTTTAATGAAAGTAAAAAGAAATATTTTACAAAATTATTACAAACAAAAAAACTAAAAAAAAAATATATATATATAAATAACTACGAAACTTCAACTTTGTTACCGTTAATCAATCATTCATTCGTATTTGGATCGTGTGCGCTTTCGTCTGAATAATACATATATATACATACTTGTTTGAGTATTATTTGCGAGCTTGCGCCGTTGCTTGAAATGATATACGAGAAAGTAGCTAAAAAAATTGATTTTAGTGACAAAAAACCTTTTACTTGCATGTACAAGAAGCTGCTGCAAATGCGCCGCAACCACACATTCTGTGGTGGTTATTATTTTTTTTTTTTTTTTTAGATATTTTTCAAAGGTAAATAAACGGTAGAAAAATTAAGCGCTAATAACTGCTAAAAGCGCTGTTGGTAATTTTTGAGCTGTTTTATTATGCTAATAATAAAATATTTAAATAAAAAAAAATTTAAATAAAAATAAAAACCATTTAAATTAAAAAAAAATAAATGAAAGTAAAAAGTATACTTTGATAATAATAAAAAAGTATATTTAATGAAAAATTAAAAACTTTTAATTAATAAAAAAAAAACATTCAAATAAAAATTTAAAAAAATTTTAAATGAAAATAAAAAAGTATTTTAAATAAAAATAAAAAATATTTATATAAAAGTAAAAAAACAAAGAAAAGTTTAAGTAAATTCTAGATTAAAAAATAAATAAATTTAAATCGAGTAAACCAACTTAAAAAGTGTTCTGCAACGAAAAGCGTCAATTAACTGCATATACGTGTGTACAGATATTTGTACGTACATGTTCTGCGAGCGTGAATACCCTTATTCTTACTTCGTCAATGTTCAAGTCGTTTTGTATTTTAAAAATAGCTAATATTATATTTTATTTTATACTATTTGTGCCACACATACACGAAACGAAACAGACACAATGACTTGTGTAGAATTTGTGGAACAAATTGGTTTTGCACTTTTCTATTTACTTAGTCTTTTCTTGCGAATTTATTTCTCAAAGTGCACTTACACGACGTTTGCATTGGAAATTTGTATAAAAAAAGTTAAAAAAAACACAGCATTCGAGAAAAAAATTGCTACTTATATATGCATATACATAATAGGTATGTATACAACAAGATCTGTAGCGTCGTTTGTTATTTTTCCGCTTATTATCTTCTTTTTTTCTTTCGTACACCAATATTTTTGTTATTAATTTTATTATGGCAGAAAACTTTGTCGGAAATTTTGTTTTTCGAAAATTTTAACAATCAAAACTGTTTGCCCGTATTACATTGGAGGCACTAAATTTTAAAATATACAAAAACCAATATTGCAATTTTTCTACAAATTGTTTAATGCATATCAATGAGTTTGTGTAAATGTTTGTATGTACATACATATATGTACAAATTTTTATAATTTCAAACAATACATCACTTGGTATGTAAGCAAATTCTTCATAGATTTAGCAGCAATTAATACTAAAATAATGAAAGAACAACAACAAGAAAATAAATAAGTTTTCAAAACGAACGAAACGTAACGAAATGCACCAAATACAAAAACAATAACAATAAAATAAATAAATTTTAAAACTACTGTGTAGATCATACGAGCATATCTTTGTATGCGAGTTAATAGTTTGTTTGTATGTACTATGCTGCACTTCAACAACTTTGTTGTAGCACAACAAAATAAATCAAACAAATTAAATAAATAAAATTAAATAAATCGTTTTATTATATTCTTACAATCATATGTAGCTATGCACATATGAATATACAATATATATACGTATGTTCGTATGTATGTAACTATATGTATAATATATACACATGTGTCCACATAAAAATATGTATGTATGTATTATTAAAACACAGTGTGTTAATTTTTAGTAGATGCCTTAGTATTCATTTTTAGGAAATGTAAATTTATAAATTTTATGATATAAATGATTCAATAAATTACATAAACCACAATGGTTCATTTTCATGTCATTGCATTTGTTCTTCTTTTGTATGTTGTTTGGTTTTTCTTTTCATTCTTCAAGTTTCTCCTTCTTGATCTTGTTGTTGTTCTTCTTCTTCTCTTTCTTCTTTATTTTGTTTGGTATGTTCTTTGGTTCTTTTTTCGGGGTTGATTTTTGTTGCTTAACTTTTTGTTTTTGTTTTATGCAATCTATGCGTTTATGGGGCCAACATTTTTGAAAGTTCTTCATCTTGCAGACACCCTTTCAAGAATTCATCTTGAGTTAATTGACCATCATTATTTTCATCCATTTTAGCGAAAATATTTTTTGCACGTTCCTCTGCAGAATCGGCTGGTCGATTTGATGAACACGCGCCAAGCATATCGTATATGGCCTGTAAAAGAGTATACGTAAGTTAATAAACTCAATATTAATTAATAAGTGGCGCACATAAGTATGTGCATATGTATATATCTATGTAATTGCGTGTAAGTTACGATTAAGAAAATTTATAAAATAAAACAATTTTTTAGGTTGCTTTAATACAAGGCGAGAGGTTGTATTAGGAGATAATAATTTGTTTAATAAATTTTAATTTTTAATTGTTTTAATAGATTTTAAAAAAATTAAACATTTTTTTTATTAGGTTTGTCTTAACTTAATTTTAATATTTTTAATTTGTAATTTTAAAATTAGTTTTTTAAGTCTTTTGAGGTGGGTATGGTTTAATGACCCCACCGTGAAGTCTAAATGATCTGTTAATTTTTTAATGAATTCAATTTTTTAATTAACTCTAATTATTAATTTCTTTTTTAAATAACTTTAACTTTTTAATTGACTTATTAAGTTAAGTTTTCTAATTAATTGAAATTTTTTATTATTTTAAATAATTGAAATGATTAACTTTTTTGAATGAAAATTTTATTTTAATTAATTATAATTTTTAAAATTAGTTTTTAAAGTTTTCTTTTAGAGTAGGTAGGGTTAATGACCCCATTTCGAAGTCTGAATGATCTATTAATTAATCAAGCGTAACGTTTATATAAAATTAATTTGGAAGTTATCCCGTTTCGCAAGCTGCTTAGAAATAAATAAAACTTCATTTTTTTAAATAATTAATTTTATTTTTTTGAAATCAATTTTAATTTTTTAACGAATTTAAATTTTTAATTTTTTTAATGAACTTCATTTTTTTAACTAATTTTAACTTTTTTAATTAATTTTATTTAATTTTAATTTTCACATTTTTTGAATGAATTTAGATTTTTTATTCATTTTAATATTTTTAATTAAGTTTAATTTTTTTTAATTAAATTTAATTATTAAATTTTTTAGAAATTTTTAATTTTTAATTTTGTAATTAATTTCAATTTTTAATTTTTTAATCAATTTTAAGTTTAATTTTTTTTTTAATTAAATTTAATTATTAAATTTTTTTAAAAATTTTTAATTTTTAATTTTGTAATTAATTTCAATTTTTAATTTTTTAATCAATTTTAAGTTTTAATTTTTAGTATTTTATTTTTAATAATGAGTATAGTTTAAAGACCCCAATTCGAACTTTAAATGATTAATTCTTTAATACCCACAACGTCTGATTAAATTTTGTTGATTAATGACTCAAATATTCGATCTTGAGTCAAGCAAGTGGTGAAAAGTAAAAAATGCCTCTGTATTTGGAATAGCCAAGAATCATCATCTGCTAATTAAATTAACGCACAAAATTTGCCCAAGATTTGTGGAGCCCGATTTTCCCAAGAAAATTTTGTTCAGGCAATAGAAAAAAGATGTACTAAATTTCAGGTGGAGTACTAGTGATATATGAACCCAAAAGTGGACTGGACTAAAGCAATTTAATTTTTTTTTAATTTTTCTGAGTTATGGCGAATGTCGTGCGTCTCCAAAATTATCGTTATATGAGAGCCGGTTGGGATTTTCAATATAATTTTTCTTGCAGAACCCGAAATATTTATACAAAGTTTCATTAGAATATCTGTAACACAGATAGAATGACATAACTAAATGGACCCATTCCTGCTTTATAAATAAATATATACATACATATATGTCGTTGCAAACAGCCATTAGTTGTTCAAACCTTAAGCTCTAACCCTCTGAACACCTCTGCATGACCTAATGCAATTATCAAATTTCAGTGCTGAGCCTTATTTTAAAATACATTTTCTTCATATTTTACATTTATACAGACATACATATGTGCACGCGTTTCAATTTATATACTACCTGAACGATTTTCGTCATTTCTTGTATGTCAATTACGCCATTACCATCTACGTCGTACATACGGAAAGCCCATTTGAGCTTCTCCTCGGGAGTGCCGCTCGATGTAACGTCTATGGCCAATAAAAATTCCTATAAAGACCAGTATGAATATTAAATAACACACATTCCAAAAACCATGCCTAATTAAATGGTAATATTTAAAGAGTAGTAATAAAGCTATTGGAATACATTAAGTACGAGGTAATTTAAATGAACTAACATAATTAATAAATACTTGTATACTTAACTAATATGTATATAATAAAATAATATAGATACTATTAACATCCCATCTCCCATACTCTAAAATCTCACGGTTAACTGGCTTCGCTTCTGACAGGAACTGACTGGGTAAAAGCTATGCGGATGCTATTTCCACAGCAAACTCATGAGGTATAAAGTACCGGCAATTAGCCCGCCAACATAAAATGGGGTTGAGCTAAGTCTCAGAGCAACGGGTAAAATTTCTGTGCATAGTTCTGGGCAAAAAGCTAAGCAGGAAAGCAAAATTAATAAGCAGATGTGAGAAGGGATCCATCGACCTCTATACACGTAAAAGAGCCAATGGCTAGAAATGCGCTAAACAGGATGACAAACGTTACCTTTTTTATTGCTAACATTTAAAGAAAAACGATCTGGTGCGATCAAGACAACGTCAAAAGTGGCTTTAAATTTAATTCCAGATATTTTACTTAAAAGGGAAGAATGGAATAATAACTTTTATACCCAAATCGACAGTATTGAGAGACACACATATTATATAGCGATGACTCAAAACTTGATGGAAGATTTGGAGTAAGTATCTTCACAAAAGACCCAGCTTTTGAGCTCTCTTTCAAGCTACTCGATCATTCCAAAGTATTGCAGGCTACAAACTACATTGGAACTGAACTCACGAGCAAGGACATCTTTATTTTAAGTTCTTTAAAACGATTTCGGAAATTCTGCTGAACTGTCGCCGGTCTCTGCAGAAGATGGCCAAACAAAACAGATTATTTTTCATTTGGATTTCTGGACACAGGAACATAAAGGGAAAGGCGAACTTGCCGGCTAGTCAGGACCAAGCAGATTTTTTCCCAACCAAGGTAGTAGGAGTCTTAACAGGATAGAATAGGACGAAATGCGGCGAGACTGGAAGTTCCCTTTAGGAGACGCTGTAATAACAAAATAAATATGAGACTAAACTGCCTTGGGCAGAGCTAGGTTCCGATCCTATCTATTTTCACCTTCTGTGAAGCTATTGTATTTTGAGCCAAGCGAGCGAAATCGGGTCGGGCTAATGATGTGGACTAGAGCTGTGCCCGTTCACTTTGTTGAAGATTTTGCTTAAATATCTTTGTTTGCGGGCTTACAAAACTCAACTCATGCAAAAATTGAGGCCCAATGACCCACCCGTGCGCCGGTGAATAAGGTCAAAACGAGATGATTATCAATCCATATTTTCACAAGAAAACTTTTTTCAGAAATGAAATTCACTTTTGGATTAAATGGGTACATTAATAAACTTTGAAGTAATAATAATCCAACAACTATCACACCTAATCTTCAGGCAGCCACTGTTTGGTGTGCTCTGTGGGCAGCGGGAATCATTGGTGGATATTTCGTTAAAAATTTAAGCAGGCCATAATGTTACAGTCAATGGAAAATGTTATGGAACCACGACTAATGACTCTGCTGTGGCTGAAATGGAAGATGTCGATGTGCACCAACTACAGTTTCAACAAGAAGGCGCTGCCTGTTACATAGTAAACGGAACAAACGGTTTGTCTAGGAAACTTTGTGATCCTGTGGCTTAGCCTCCCAGATCGTTCGATTTAACACCGCTTGACTATTTTTTGTGGGGTTATATGATCGCCACCTTGGACGAACATATTGGGTCGAAAATTGGGTCTCTTGGCTGGAATTTTTTCAATTCAGCTACGGCTGTCACATGGCCGAAATCATTTTTGAAACATAATTGCAAACCCTTATATTTATAATGCAGCCGATTTCTGGAGCATAAAATTAAATTAAATACGTTTTATTTCTTCTTGAAATCCACATGTCTAAAAACAACACCCTTTATATTATATTTAATAAATTTTATTTTTACAACAAAGAAACCTTAAAGCTTGGTAGAATAGTCCACAATGGAGTGTACATACATACATACATACATACATACATACATATGTATATACTCGAATTTATAAATATAAGCGCATATCGAACGACAATTGGCGATTGCCTTTTCTGTAACTATTTATACTTTTTTTTATTTATTATTATATCGTAATATAATTGTCAATATGAACGTTTGTATGTAACAATGTTTGATACTGCCAGTAACAGTGCCAGCGCCAAACCGCCAAGAGAATCATATGAACATACAAGTGTGCATATCTCTTACATACTCGTATGTATGTATGTATGTATACTGTTTGTATTGCCTTTACAACGCCAATTTTGTACCCCTCCCTATTTTCGAAGCAAAGTTTGTTTTTGTATCATTTTTTTTTTTTTTTTGTTATTGTTAGGTCAATATAAGTAGTTGATATCGTCTCTTCTGCTGTTGTTTTATCATTTCACTGGGAGACAGCAGCAGTGAGTGTGATTGTGTGTGTGTGTGTGTGTGTGTGTATTATTTCTGGCTGCATGAAATCAATTACATCACTTCACCTCATCCTTTCAATGTGAATACGCTTACAAACAATAGTTTTTGTTTTTGTTTTTAGATTTTGTTTGTGTGTTGTTTTTGGCCGACGAGGTGAAGCGCATGAATGGTAGGCGTTTGAATAGTGATTTTTTTTTTTGTTTGTTTTTTTTTTTTTTTCATCTACACTTAAGTGAGGTGAGACAGCGACACCGGTGGCTGGTGGTGGCGGTGGCGCGCGACGTGCGGTCCACTACGGTTAATCGTGCGCGCTGAAAGGAATGTGCTTACAGAAATAAATCCATTTAATGAAGGAATTAAAACAAAGGCAACGCGCACAAGTATCCGCACTGCGTTTTTCGCATTGTTTTCGTTTAAAAAATAAATATGTATATATGTGTGTGTGTTTTATAAATAAAAAACACAAAAAGAGGTAGAAACCAAACACTATTATCTCCCACCACAGCGTCCAATACGTGTATACATGTATGTTTGTTTGCATGTGTGTGTGTAGTGTGTAGTGTGTATGAACTCGACGAACACGGGCGCGTCCGCGTCGTCAACGTCGTACTCAACGTGCGACGACGACGACGACTACGAACCAATACCAAGCCAGTTAAACACACCCAACAAACAAAACGAGACGGAGCCGAGTATGAGCGGCACTTAACCGCAATACTTGCACAAGTATTACATATACATATCTACATAGGTGTGTAGTTGACAGGCGACAAACTGTATGGGGGGTATTGCTGCTGTTCGCTGTTCACTGTAGAGCAACAACATGATTAAAACAACAAGAAGGTATTAAACGAAAAACTTTTGAGTTTGTAGTCGCATGTTTTTATTCCATAAATTTATAAATAATATAATATATATGTATGTAGCGCATGTTATATGACTTTCAGTTGTTGTTTTTACAAATTTTTATTTTTTGTTTAAGCGACCGAGTAAAACTGATATAAATCTATGTGTGAAAACAAAAACAAAAACTTAAACAAAGTCATCATATATTCTCATTGATGAGAGGACACATTGAGGACATTGATGATCATAATGTAACATCATATCATGCTTAAATATGCTTAACTATGTATAGATAACTGATATACTAAAGCGCAGTGATTTGCGTGATGCACACAATCGTGCACGTATCAACGTATCATGCTGTCAAATGGGCAGGAATCAAAGTTAGTGCGGGTGCACAAGCTCATATCTATGTACATACATACACACATTTGTATGTACACATTTGTATGTCCTTGTTTCACATGGAGAATAGTGTTTTTTGCCAATAAGATGGGTTAATTTTTAATTTCAGCTTTGCTGCTGAACTGTTGAAGCATTTTTGAGCAATTAATTTTGTATAAAGAAATTGGAAATGCATTTATTTTTATTTAATGATTTTCAGGGTGAATTTTCTATCAGTGATATCAACACTTTTCTGCCAAATACACACTGGATTCTCAACAGTAGATACAAAAGTAGTTACAAGAAAGTCACGTATACGCAGTGTGACATCAAAGATTTTACGACGAACAGATTTCTTCAAGTTATTAAAAATTTATATATATACAAATGTATATGTATATAATTGGCGTAAAGTAAAAGATTTTTGACCCTGCACCTTCCGCAATTTCTGTTGTTCAGACTCTTGCGGCCGACATATATGGAAAACAATTCCTCTCCTATAAGCCAAAGCTGGCCACTTCTGAGCGATAACTTATTTCAGACGGTCCAATTGTTGACAGTACAGTTCCGAGTTAAGAATTTTGCCATATGGGAGCGGATCATACTAGCTAATTCACTGCCAAACCCACAAAAACTTTCCTGGGCGTCAATCTTGGCATAGCCACCGTTTTCGCCGGCTCAATGCGTTTCGACCATTTTCGCTTGACATCCACTTTCCATCGCCAGGTCCCCAACCATTCGTTTAAGAAATGGGTCGTTTTTTTTGTGTCTCAGCAGCAAATCGCATATGAATATTCGGTTCATGAGGTTTTTTGGCGTGAACTCACTCGTGTGGTACCCATACATCCAACTTCTCTTCGTATTCAACCTTATTCAAATAGTGCCAAACGGTTTTTTGTTCAATCTTTAGCTCTTGAGCAATCGAAGCAGTACTTACATGACGGTCGGCTTCGAAAATGTGCAGGATTTTATCGACATTTTCGACAATTGGCCTTCCAGTGCATGGTGCATCTTTGACATCGAAATTAACGGAACGGAATCAGCGAAACCATAATTGTAAAAAATAGCGTATTTTCTCTTTGCTAGTGTCCATCTTTAAGGCACGCTCAAACAAAACTAAAACTGGACCAATCACAAAACTGTCGGAAAAGCTTTTTTATTACGAAAGATTTCTAACGGCATCTAACAGCGAATTCCGGACATAAAAATGCAATGCATTCGTTTTCGAAAAAGTTAGGTCCCATGACCAGGTGGCCCATAAACCGTTCCAAACAGAGGATGGAAAGGCGTTTCAACGATAAATTTTAGTAGTGAATTTTAAAGTTTTCAATGTGTTGTTGAAACATAAAGCGTTGCATTTTTATTACTGGCGTAGTTTTTACTTGCTAAATGTGAAAAAAATTGCACGATCTCAGTGACCAGGTGACTTCGCCAAGACGAGAGGTTACGCGGTCTGTAAATTTTTGTCGCTATACTCGTATTCGATCGTGTTGTGTAGCATGTTGCGCCATCTAGTTGAGGCCGAAAAGGTCGGTTATCATGCGACAATAACGCTCCAAGTTGACAGTAACAGTCTCGCCATTGTTGACTTCAAGGAAATAAGGTCCAATCACACGTCTGGACTAAAGAGCGCATCAGACACTAAATTTTTTTGTATGTGTAATGGTTTCTTCTTCAGAGCTCCAAAGCCGACAGTTTTGCTTATTTAAGTATCCCCCGAGCGAACTGTGCCTCGTCGCTGAAGAAAATTTTGTTTGAAAAATCGCTGTGGCGATATGTGCGGTGGAATGAGCAAAAAGGGTAATGCATAGGTCCTACAATATCTGTAACCGAACCAGTCCCTTTAAATGATTGAGTGGTTATGACGATTTTGGGCACCATAATCTTGTCTTGTCCGGAAATACCTTGATTTACAAGTGAGGAAGTATATTAAAACAAGGAATAAAAATCGCTTGGAGACGACCCAAGGCTGGACAGACATACTGGACATTGAGCTGATCACGCCAGAGCTTATCCAATTATTCCCCAGAAGAGAGTGACAGTTCTTTGCTGGATAAAAGTCCGGGTCCCAGGGGATGAAAAGAAATTTCAAAAATATGCTCGACGATGCTCGTATCGCAGAATGGTTGGAGTATCCGATGCAACTTTTTTTTTAAGTTCTGCACAATCATCTTGACTTGACTAAGGTCTCTAACGCCTCTGCAAAAACAACAGCACAGAGTGTTCAAGCACTTTTTGCACCACTGTAATGAAGAGAAGGATGGTCTATTGAGTCGAATTGTTACTGGAGTCGAAACTTGGGTTCATCGCTGCTAGCAACGGCTTTTGGAAAATTATAAAATAAACGTGTTTCTATAATTAGAGAATATTACGCTTTAATATTAGACCGACTACAAAAAGCCATCTAAGCAAAAAGACGGGGAAAATTGATAAAAAGAAAGTGTGCTACACTTACACTTCAGCCCAGATCTGCCTCCGAGTGATTACTACATTAGATAAATGAAAAACGAGCCGAGGGGTAAAAATTATATCACCGGTGATGAAGTTAAAAATTGCAGTTGCGGCGTATTTTACAGATAAAGAGAACGCACTTTTATCTGAGAGTATAAACAAATGATTTGAACGAAATGAAAAATGTATCCAATTTTTAGATGAATTTATTGAAGAGCAATAATAAGGAAAAGAGATAGACCCATCAACTATAGCTGTCAAGAGAACTCAATGTATTTATTTATAAAAGATTTAGTTTTAATTTTTAAAATTGAAAAAAGATTTTTATAAACTATTAAACGCATGGTGTTTAGTTATATTATATTATAGCGGTTGACCTAGCCCATTTACTCCTAATATGGCGGTTTTTACTCTGCCACCCGTGGATATATCTTCTTTTGACACGAGCTGTTAAGATAGTGGGTTTTTATAACGATCGGGTCAGAATGAAGAGTTGTGTCCGTAGGTCCCTAATTTTTTAAATATTTCAACTAAATCTTCTGCACAGGTATACAGGATCCGCCACGTAACTTTTTTTTTTAAATGCAATAAAACAAATGCCTATTCGGCAAAGGCAAACCGCATCGGATGGTCTCATGGCTTCAATTCTTGAACCAATTGAACTTTGTACGGTGTCATACCAAGGTCTTTTTTCAAAATTCGCCTAAGGGACGTCTCGGAAATGTCCGATTGTTGAGAGCGACGCTTCACTGATGTTCCGGGCGCCTCACGCACACTCTCGGCCACAGCAGCGATATTACCGGCAGTACGCACTTTTTTTGGTTTCTCACGCGTTGGTTTATCAATAATTGTGCCGGTTTCTCTCAATTTTTTTAAAAGAAAGCGCACATACGGAGCGGACGGTGCTTTGTTACGGCTCATTTCCGTGCGTAATTTTCGCACAAATTTTCAAAGTAAAACTTAGTCAGTTAGTGAAACAGGTTCCTCCATCACGGAAGCCTGATATCGTGTTGTTACCTATGTTGGTTCTGTGAAGAAGATTTCTCTACAGGAGATTAATGATGCCTACAGATGCAAGCTCTGCTAAGTAATCGAAAACGAAATTCCACGTGGTTTCACTCTGGCATCTGCTGTTGGCTCTTCTGCTGAAGGTTAGCCTTAACAAATACTTAGCCGAGGAAGGAGGTACATATATGTCTACATGATGTGCAGCGTTAATCGCGGTTATGACTGTTTCCTATCCGGTCAGCTCATCGGCCGAGGTGGCAGGTAGCCAAACCACGGGCGTTTCTAATATAGACGAGAAAACCTATACCTATAAGCCTAAGTTTGGAAAAATGAGTAAAAATGACAACACTTTTAATTTTATTTATAATAAAAAGCATCTAGCAACTTCTCTTCTTATTTCTGGCGCTTAAAAAGAACGGCTTGAAACAAATATTTTAATAGATCCCTGCGCGTATGCAATATTATAGCAACTGCTAAGAAGATAACCTCAAAAATAATTAAAAAAATCTTCAAGTTGAATATTTTACAAGTGGCAAGATCAAACATTTTCGAACAAACACGTTTAAGTGAAACCACCTTATCGAATTATTGAAAAGTATCGTCCAAGACGTGTTGTCTTAAAGATTTAAATTTTTCAATTTTCTTAAAAACAAAATGCTCAAAAAATTATCTTTACCTACATATATGATTCCTACATTATTATTGGTACACCCTAGTGCTACTGCTACATTTTTTCTGATAAAATTTTAATTTCAACTGCGCCATTATTATGGGACCTGCATGTTTTATGCTATGTACACGCACTCGACATTTATAAAATACTGCATATAACGGTGCATATACATATATATATATATAAATTTTTTTTGTTTTTTGATTCACTAAATGTATGTTTGTATATGCATTTGATTAAATATTTATTAAATATTTAAGTTATACAATATGTACGTAAGAGTATATGTATCATGTAAAAACATATAAATAATGGGTTGCCCCAAAAGAAACCGTCGATTTTTTTTGAACAGCTTTTGACTATTTAATTGCATATTTTCTTTTGAAAGTTATAAGCTGTCACTTTTAGCTTGCTTTAGAAAAAAAAGTACTCGTAAGAACATTTTCGTAATATTTTACTTTATTATTTCCTTAAAGGAAAAGAAAGCAGAGCAGGTTGCTAAAAAGTTGCATAATTTGTTTGGTGATAAGGCCTTAAAAGAAGCGCGGTGTGTTAGTTGGTTTGACAAATTTCCGTTCGGGGACATTTCACTCGAAAGATAAGCCACGTTCAGGTCGGCCAAGTAAAGTTGATGATGACGATAGCAAGACTTTAATGAAATCGGATCGTTATGTAACTCAGCATGAGATTGGAGAGAAGTTAAGTAAGCCAAATTCAACCGTTCATAAGTATATGCGACGTCTTGGACTGGTAAAGAAAAACTTGATATTTGGGTGCCACAAACTTAATTCATTTAACAAGCCGCTTCAACGCTTGTGATATGTATCTTAAACGCCATGAATGTGATACGTTTACAATAACGTAAATCGAAAAAGATTATGGTTCAAGCATGATGAAGCGCCACAAGCCATTTCAAAGGCTGATATTCACTAAAAGAAGTTTATGCTGTCAGTTTGGTGGAATCGGAAGGGTGTGGTATATTTTGAGCTGCTTCCAAGGAACCAAACGATTAATTCGGATGTAAACCCTGCGGGTTAGGGGCTCAAGAACTTACCCGCGGTAAGGCATGCCTGCGGATTTTTATCCGGCCAAGGACTGTCACTCCCGCAAACATTCCCAAAAAGTAAAGTGGGGAATAATTTTGCAATTACAACAACAACAACACACAACATTAATTCGGATGTCAACTATGAGCAACTGGACAAATTGAGCACATCCATCAACGAGAAGCGGCCAGAATTGATCACTCGTAAACGTGACATATGCAACCAAGACAATGCTAGACGGCGCATATCTTTGGTCACTCGTCAAAAACTGAGAGAGCTTGGTTGGGAACTGTGGCTGCATCCATCATATATCCCTGACATTACACCATCAGACTACCATTTGGTTCGATCTTTGCAGAAGTCATTAATAGTAGAAAATAACGGGACTATTATATGACAGTTGGTTCAGTTTTTTTTTTTCAGATAAAAGCCAGAAGTTCTATGATCGTGGAATAATGGTGTTGCCGGAAAGATGGCGAAAGATCAACCAACATAATGGAAATTACATAATTTGATTAAAGTTCATTACAAAATTAAAAAAAAAAAATGTATTTATTTCCTTTTAAAAAATCGCCGCTTTCTTTTGGGGCAACCCAATATATACTCGTATATATATATATTTATATTAATATAAAGAGTTCTACTACCACTTACCTTGAAATCAATATAACCATTTTTATCCATGTCGAAGGTGCGAAAAACGTGATCACAAAACTCCTCAGCATTACCAGATGGGAAGAACATTTTGTACATGTCCACGAATTTGGCTGGCGTCAAGCGTCCGTTGGGACAATCTTGCTGCAATTCGGTGACAACCGACCGCACAACCAACGGAGACCAACCGTCCAATAGTTCAACCCAACCAGGTATCAAAGTTTATGAAGATGAATGGAAAATGGAAGAAATTTCGGTTTAGTTGCAGGTAGCCCGTATAAATATATGGTTGTATGTATGTATGTATATATAATTGCAGGAATTAACGAAGTCAGTTATTGCAGTAGTGTTGTTTTTGGCAGTAGCAGTTGCAGATACATATGTATGTAGTTAGTTGATTTCCAAATGCAAAATGCATTGCGTGCAGATGTTTTTTTAGTTGTTGTTGATTTGCATAATTTGCATATAGAAACGCGTTGTAGAAAGTTGCAATATATAAATATTTTAAGGCGTATTATTAGTACATATATATATATATATGCAAATCTTAGCAGAAACGAACAAAAAAAAAAACAAAAAATCTTGTAAATTAAGCATACAAAAAAATTACAGTTACCTTGAATCCTTTATACCATTCCTTAATTGTGGCTTCATCGTAACGTGTATGAGATTTCAAAAACTCCATATCCTCTTTAGTCAAGCGGTCTTTACTACTTAAGCAACCCATTTTTCAATTTCTTTTACTTGCTTTTTTCGCGTTACACGAGCTAATTAAAATGTAGTACAGTTATACTAGGTAAATTTCACTTTTTTTACAATAAATGATTTAAATTGTTTAAAATTTGTTTAAGTTTTTTTTTAACGTTTTTAATTAAATTCTTTTTTTTTTTTGTAATGTTTAAATTTTTTTTAAATTCTTAAAACTTTTTAAATTTTAAAAAATTATATTTTTTTTTAACTTTAATTTTTTTTTTTTGGCTTACTCGTGCACAAAATACTGCTTGCTTGTAGCTTGGTTTTAGTATTGTTTTTTTTTTTTTATTACTTATTTGTTATATTCATATGTGGTTATGTATGCAGCAAGTTGTATGTTGATTGATTGTAATGTATGCAAAACGCGCTGTAATGCTGTTGCAGTTTAGACTAGTACGAATATGTGTATGGATGTGAGTGTTTTTTTTTAGTTCCTTTTTTTTTTTTTGTGGCTAAAACACCATCTCCGTTGGGTTAGTGCTATTGTGCTATTATTATTAAGCGTTGTTAAGAGCTAATTTGGTGCTTTGGTCGCGCTGGCTGGCTCCTACTGTTGCTACTGCTGCTGCGGCTGCTACTGTTGGCTTTGCTATGCAATGGTTGCCTATCCTATAGGCTATGTTTCACTTTTGATATATATTTGGTTAGCTTAAAGCTTTTAGCTCCTTTTTTTCAATATGTGCTTTACTATTTTACGCGTAAATATATATTTTATATATTTTTTATTACTTTTTTTTAATTTTTTTTTATTATTTTTTATTATTATTTTTTATTATTATTTTTTATTATTATTTTTTTAATTTTTTTTTATTATTTTTTTATTATTTTTTATTACTATTTTTTTATTATTTTTTTTATTATTTTTTTTATTATTTTTTTTTTACTATTTTTTGTTCCAACTTTTCTTTTACGCACTGTAAGCAAAACTTTTTTGTTTTGCTTTTACTAAACTACTAAACGTATAGACTAAAAGGACTTGTTTTATATATATATATTTATATATTTTTTTTTTGTTATTTATCTTCGTAAAAATGCAATTTACGATTTAAAATCGATAATACAATTTTTTTTCTTTTTTTTTTTCTCTGTATGCTATTCCATTTTGTATTTCGAAGGAATTTTAATCAATGCAACAAATCGTAATCGCTCCAACACTACGTAAATCGATTCATTTCTAACCGAATGAAGTGTCTTAAGCCGTGGAAAAAATATCTGCACATAAATGTATGTATTTATACATATGTATATATACTTCTGCTTATGTTAGTAGTACAATATGTACATGCATATATTTTGCTTTAGAAAATATGCTTTTTTTCTTTCTTTATATTCTCTATTAACACTTGTTTTTCTCTAAGATTCTTTCAACATTTTTCTCATTCATAAATAGCTTGTAACTAATATTTCCGTCGTTTCGCTTCACTTTTTTCTATTCAACTAATTGAATTTTAATTTTTTATGATTGTATACAGAGTTCGAATAAGGTTTTCTGTTTTATGTTATATATATTTTTTTTTTTGGAAAAATCTGTGTTGTATATTGTATGAAAGTCGCTACTAACAAAATGCAATAACCAGCAGACTGGGACCGAATGGACAACAGGACTTTCCGATGTTTTCGAGTTCGATAGTGTACATGCGCAGTAAGCGGGTCCTTATTCTGTTTTTGCAAGTGTGTGTATATATGTGTGTGTGTAATGAATGTAGTCGGTATGCAGGTGTATACACTGGTGGCTCACTCGCACTAGCTTGTAAGCTCACTGGCTGGTGAATGTAGTAAGTGGAGTGTAACTATATAGGTTTCATTCTCAAATAAACTTCTTCGAAAGTGCTCCGTATAAGAACACAAACAGACATATGCATGTACACTGGCGAACGGCACTACTTAAGTAGCATACCCAGCAAGGAAAATTTGTAGAAAATCTACGTACTTTGTTTGAGCTACAAGTTAGAGAAATACTGGCCATATTCACGTATTTGCCCGCGACTTCGTAATTAGATTTGTACGATTTATTTAACTATTAATTCTATTATAACTTATAATCCATTATAAAGTCAAACCATCGAATCACTCCTAGACCTATTTCCCTTAAGGCAAAGTGTGCCCAGCCGTATTTCAGGCAATAGTTGCTGGCCAAGTTTTATTTAAATCAAGCGATATATACAAATTTTCAAATAGCTCGGTACCGGGACCACGCTCCAATTTAGGCAAAGAAATACCTGTGTACCGAAATTCCATTCAAATAAATCAAATCAATTAAAAAAAGTACGATTTTTCGGAATAGATCAAATATATGTAAATGATTTCATTATAACTTTTAGGCTATTACATTAAAACTCATGAGTAAAATACCAAATTTCATATAAATATATAGATATATATTTTTATTTATACCATCTAGCAGGAAGAGGAACAAGCACAGCTCGACTACCGAACAAAGCAACTGAAAATGTCACATTTGACAGTTGCTGATAATTTCGCCTCTCTGAGAACCAGTACAAGCACCAACGACTATGGCAGCCTGGTAAATCAATGTTGAATCCAATTTTTAATTAAAAGTTCCACATCATTTCTGCAGTAGCGTGGTCTTTGAACTCTTCGAAAGAGAAAGGTTTCGTAAAAAAATTGTTGGTTCCCTGAGTTTGATGGTTTTTTATGAGGAGCTTTATTTCATGTCAGAAATACACGCGGAGGGGTTGACATTGCCTGGCGAGAGGCGACCGCAATTTAATTAATTTAATTAATTTAATTTAACTTAATTTTTATTTAAATGAGTTTTCTATAAGTTTTTGGATATTAGTACGACACCAGAATTTGAACCCGAGCCTTCTGAATGGCAGTAAGCAATGCTAACCACTCGATAGCCGCGGCCGCCGTATGACATAATTTAGCGTATTAAGAAACATCTGCTAGACGAATGGACGTAAGCACTACAGATTCGAAAGTCTTTGATACTAGGGAAGCAAGGAGAGAGAAAGACCATCACTCTGTGTGGAAGGAACTGGTGTAAAGAGAGCCGAATTCACTTGGCACTTCCAATAGTCACCTAACTGTGCGTAATGAGGTTCTCACGGTCGGAGTGATTCCATTTTCGTCATATTGACAACACGGTAGTCTAGCCAGACTTCTAATCTTCGCAACGAGACCTGTTAGGGGTCAGCACATTGAGACGTTGTCGACGCGACAACACGATTAATAATCAATCAAGTCTCCCGCCAAGTGGAAATTACGCGTTGCCATTCGTTATCTCGTTTGAAACTGAAAGACTCCGTGAGGTGAAAACTGCATATGGTAATAAAGCTACGAATAGTGAGAGTCTGTACAAGAGGTATAGCGAGTTTAAAAACGGTCGTATGTCTGTTCAGGACCACGACGAATAGCACAAAGTAATAGTTTGCCTCGTTTAAATGGGATATCCTGAACCATCTCGCACATTCTGTTGATCTAGCACCTTCAGATTATTATTTTTTTACCTCCCTGAAGCTGCACATTGGTGGAAAAGATTTTTGACGAAAAGAAAACACAAAAATTCTGTACTGGATGAGGCAATTATAGGCCTCAGCGGTATATGCGACAAAAAAGAAAAACAAAACATGAAAACAATGCCCAATTGAAATTGATGATGCCGAAAAAAAAATCAAAACTGTATGAACATTCAGAAAGATTTGAAACCAGTTATTTCGAAGGTAAAAAACAAAAGAACAACAGAAACTTATATTTTATACTTAACAACGCAGAGAACTAACTGACAAAAACAATGCTCTAGAGATGATAAATATATCTAGAGCAGCTTTTCAGTGAAGTCTATTGTCGGGAGGGAATGTACCGTTAACATGTACCGTGCAAATGAAAGTCATAGAGAAAATCATTACTCAGTTTGCTTTTTTAACTATGGCTCATTTGAGCTTTGAAATCTTCAATTGCATTCCCGATGTGTCAAATATTCAGTACAAAGTTTACGGTTTACGAGAGGATTGGGTTTACGCTTGAAGAAAAATGGGGAAATGTTCAAAACTTACTTTGAAACTAGTGATTCTTGAAATACGTAGGAAATTCGAGCAGTTGAAACTATTAATTTTATTGAGACGAACAAGCGAGGCAGGTGAGACAGGTGAGTGAGAACAAAGCGCTTTCTCCGTACATAGCAAGAAGTTGGATGACGTCGTGCAATGTTTTTCTAACGAGTGAGTGAAAGCATAGCAATTGAGTGTTTAATGTACGAGCTGTGTTACGCTTTAGATTTAATTAAAGTCTAATATATAATTTTTGGAAATATGTTAAAGAACTATAATTTATTAAAAAAATTTTTATTATTTTTTTAAATAAAATATTAAATAGAATGTCTATAATAATACGGAGCAGAGCAAGTGTGCGAAAGTAGGCGTAAGAGCGGAGGCTGTAAAACGAGCGAGAAGCGATCGGTACTGTCTAGTAGCTTAAAGTCGGCTGTTGAGCATTTAATGACAAATACCCAGGTGAAAGATAATCGCGCTCAGCAAATAAAGCTTTTAATTTTCTTTTTTTTTCAGATATCAGCCTGATGAGTGAGCTATAGCTATCCACCCCGCCAGCAAGCAATGCTACTAACTGAAGTTGGTTAAGCTTAAACTATAACTAGCTTTTTCAGCTTGAAGAATATTGTATAACAACAAATATATATGTAGCTAAATAAATATTATAAAATTAGTTTTTCACAGTAATGACTCTAAGGTGTTACTTGAGTTTATTCGAAGGAAAAAGTCCATTTTCAATTATTTTTTATACAAGCTGCGCTCCAAAATAAACAGGACTTTTTGAATCTAGCGCACTCTAAGGGCGCCATCTATACGTACATATATATGTGACTAGTCCGTTAGAATCTGCTAACCTTTATCGACTTCATGACATTTCATCTACTGGAAGTGAAGTTATTGCCTTTTAAGTGTCAGTATGTTTTTGTCGTCGGTGCGAAAATGAGCTTCGAACAAAGAGCCAACATTAAATTTTGTTTTAAAAGGGGTAAAACTTTTACCGAAACGTTTATGGCGATGATTGCCTAACCCGTAGCAGAGTGCACGAGTGGTTTCAACGTTTTCAAAGTGGTCGTGTGGACGTAAATAACGATGAACATGTGGGCCAACCAAAATCCGTGATCACCGAAAATTCCATCGAAACTGTGCGTGAATTCATAGAAAATCAGCCGAAATCATCATTGAAATTCATGAAAAAAGAATTGAAAATCTCCAAAACCAAAAATTGCTTAGAATTCAACATTCGAAGGACATCATTAAAGAGACAAAAAAAGACCCGAACTTCATTTACAAGATTGTGACTGGTGACGAAACGTGGTGTTTTCAATATGATGCCGAAACAAAACGCCAGAGTGCTGAATGGAAGGCGCCGGACGAACCGAAACCCAAAAAAAAAGCTTGCATCGGCATACTGGCGGCCATACCGGGCAACGAGCTAAAACACTCGTTCGACATGCTTTTGGACCGTGCAAAGAGCTGAGAGCGGAGACTATTTTGAATAAAATCAATTGATTTCGCCGATAAAAACATTTGTTCTGTCTTTTTTTTTGAGTCCTGTTTACTTTGGAACACACCTTGTATATTAAAATTTAAACATTTAATGAAACTATTTCGTCTTAAAGATATATGTATGTACATCTCAAAATGAGTTTCTGAAATTTTCAAAAAGGTGCATCT